CTGTTGTATGGAGCTGCGTGGATAGGGGTTTGGATGCCAATGCTCAAAGCATCCCGCTTTCTTATTCCCCTCTGACGCTTTTTCACCCGCGTCGTCCCGTTCCAGTGTTTTTTATTCTCCTCCCGTTTTCAACTTCTCAATACCTCGCCCCACGTCACCTTGCTTTCATAGGTATTATCTGCTAGATCCAAAACATATGCAAAAGCGGAGCGTCAATCTTGTTCTGTCGACAACCCAATGTCCAACCAGGGAGAGAAACCAAGTTCATTCGCTTTCATTGGAGCCCTCGATCCTCCCTCAGAGTGATTTGCTTCAACCGACGCACACTCTTTCAGATTCGTCAACAGGCAGCACCTGCTCGAACATTAGAGAACCTCTCCATCGATATCTGCTGCTTATCAGAGACCCCCCTGCAAGACTCTAGCTCAGTGCTCAATCTACGATCCCCTTCAGGTGACACCAGCAGTATTTCTCATTGCGCATATCCAGGAACGATGCAGCTTAGAGTACCGGCCAAGTTAGTGTTGACATTGCCCTGAGTCCCCGGGCTGAAGCTGCTCTGGTTGATTGGACCCCACACAGTAGCCGGATGTGTGCGTTCTTATCGGCTGGCTCGTTCAAAGCTGCGAAGTCGCGCGGGATTAATAGGTGTCTATTCATCATCGCTGCCTACGAGCCCACAAACCCTAGCGATGATTTGGTAAAAGACGACTTCTAACGCCAAATGAACGAGCTCCTTCGCCACAGAAGAAGCACGGACAATGTTGTGCTGGCGGGGATCTGAACACTCAAGTTGGAAATTTGTCCACTGATGGAATGCATCAGAGCGGCCAACACGGTGTAGGCTCGCATAATAATAACGGTGAGCGGTTACTTCATTTGTGTGAAGATGCTCGCTTATTTCTTGCGAGCACTAATTTCCGACACAGCACCCACAGGAGGGTGACTTGGCGCCCACCAGCCTCGAACAAGAGTTGGACGCAAATGGATCACATTGCGATCAGTTACCGCTGGAGAGGCTGTGTACAGAACTGGAGCTCGATTTGGAGCATGTGTGGAGACTGACCATGTCTCTGTATGCGCCGATTTGAGAGTGCTTTATGACGGACGCCCACGACGACGCTGTGAGCGCGTTGACACCAGTCAACTGGCGAAGCCAGCTGTTCTGAATGCGTAACGAGGCATGCTGATGAGAGTGGAGAGCATATAAACAATATGTCAAAATATTTGGAGTGTTACGCTGAGCAATTTAAACACCAATTCAATCGGCCGAAATGGCTAGATTCCTCACTGGCCAGTGATCGACCTGTTCGCTGGGCTGTCCCTTTGAATCCGCCCTCTCAGAAGCTCAGAAGTCGAACGTGAGATCGGACTGTTGAAGTTGCGGGAGCAAACGATCTTCATCCAGCCCTCTTCAAATTCTGGGGCTCTGCTCTTGTCGCTGATTTACATGAATTACTAGTGGAACTGTGGGAGCAGGAAATTGTCCCAACCGACTAGAGCAGGTCCGTTATTGTTCCGATCTTCAAAGGCGTCTGGCGTTCGGAATGCGGCAAACATAGAGGAATCAGTCTGATCCCCATCGCCTCCAAATTACTTGCGTCTGTAATCCTTCACAGACTGACTAGCGCTCGTGAAAGCCAGAGTCGTGAGGAGCAAGCCGGGTTTCGTCGGGATCCTCGCAGCATCGACCACATTGTCACTTGGCGTCAGCTGTTAGAGCACCGTCACACATATTGACGACCCAAGGTTGTCGTGTTCCTCGAGATCAAAGGTGCATTCGATCCGGTTGATCGATGTGCCTTTTGTGACTGTCCACTTAGGAAAGGTGTGCCCAAGAAATATGTAAAGATGATCCGCGCACTATACGCGCGTAGCACGGGCAGAGTGAGGATTTACGGCAAGCTGTAGCCGCCCTTCAGTATCTCCAGCCATGTGAGACAAAGATGCCCGATGTCACCTTTCCTCTACAACTTCGCTATTGACGAAGGCATATAGATTGCATTCACAGGACACGACTTAGAATGTAGTTGCATTATTAGACATTTCATCACAATTAACAGAATTCGTTGGAAGAGATTTTAAGGAGTATCTTATAATAGATGATGACTTGGTAACTTGCACTGAGCCAGACTCAGATGTTATTTTCCAAGAGATACTGACTGCGGTACTTCCCTACGGAAACAAAAAAAACATACACCTGATGATGCTGATGAAGAAGAGGACTGAGTGAAGATTATGGGGAAATCACAGAAATCTTAAAATATGAAGTTAGACATCTTGTAATGCAAATGAAATCATTTGCTGTGGGAAAATGTCAAAGGATGCTAGGTAGTGTAACATGTGCTGAGAGCGTTTTTTCAATTACCTGTGTGAGAAAAGATACATACATAGATTATCTTTTTATTCAAAAAAGCTTTAACTTGCGAAATGCTAATTGCGTTTTGATTTATTTTAACAGTGTATGGTTGAACCGCACTTGCCGTTGATTGAAGCCTCATCTAATGTGTTCGAAACGGGCTTATTTGAAAATAAAGGTCGTAGTATACTATTCAAAACGGAAGGTAGGTTACGTATGTCTTGGAATTGAACCTCCGTAAGTTGACCACCTCTCTATGTTGACCACTTTGGTCCAATCCTTTGAGTAGTCAATTTACAGAAGTTTTACTGCATTAGTAACTTGAAGAGCAGTATGTTTTAATGTTTGTAAAGAGGCAGCAAAACAACCGAAACGATGACCTCCTGCACTTTTGCGAAACACGAAACTAGTTTAATTATTTCGTTGTTATTATTATAATGATAGATATTATTCAACACCTGCCTAGTATACAATTGGCAGTGCCACAGCATATAGTTAGCAACAACAACAACAACAACAACAACAAGGGGGAAACAGGTAGACAGCGAAAAGGTTCGGAAGGTTTACAAGGTTAATGTGTTGTGTGGGCAGAGATCTTCCCAGTTGTCCAGGCCGAGTAAGAGGATTGACTTAAGGGATCCCACTCCGAGCTTTTGGTCATAAAGACCTGACCCGCAAGGCAGCGGGACGATTAACGGAGATCGTTGACATCCGGGTAGCTTATTCACTTTCTTTGCGTTCAGTAGCAGTTCACAGAGAAGCCGGTGGCCAACAAGGTTGTTCATCCGCCCTTCGTTGGGTACTCACTTCTGGTTACAGAAGTGAGTGGTCAGTGACCATATAGCCGGCCACATTGGCCTTGACACAGCGCCGTACGGGCTCTTGTGGTATTTGATGGAAAACTAGGTGACCAGCCCAGAGCTCCCCACGCTTTGAGAGGCTACCGTTGACTGTATGCGACTGCTTATTCCTCTCGCCTACAAGGTAAACAGGACTTCAGAGAGGTTTGGAAACAATCGGTTGGTATAGTATTTTTGGTAACGTTTGTAACGATTGCTTCCAAACCTCTCTGAACTCATGACTACTCGATCGGTTCCAAGTATCTTTCAAGAATTTGTAAACAGGACTTATTCGCAGTTACCCCCATAAGGAAAGCATTCCCCGACCTTGGGACGCGCCCGATAGCGTTCCCATTTAATAGTCACGACTGAGCCAACCTTCTGATGGTTTGAAGGTTCTAAGCAGAAGCTTTACCAACGTAAGACTGACTGATGAATATTTTTAAAAATGTGGCAAAGATAGCAGTAGACAACGATCTGTTGAATACAAACTAGTGGCATATACCGCCGAATCAGGTGAATTCGGTCATCATTCCCACCAAAACTAACGGTTGGTGAATCCGCTGATTCGCCTGAGTGGTAAGTTTATAAAAAAGAAGAAAAGCCTAAATGGATAGCAAAATTAGTTATTGCTAGCCTGTTTCATGCCACGCTAGCAGACGAGCAGATGGGGCGTGGAGATGCGGGCGAAACTGCCCGAAAGTGGGTCCCAGTGAGACGGTTCCACAGATTACCGTAGTATTTTATGCATCGAATTACATTTCCATCTTTGCCGTGGAGCTTTTTGTGGCTGTAGCTCCTTGTTCACTTATTTCTACCTTCCTATTGGCTTTCTGATATTACCCATTAATTTAATCCTTAGACCGTGTGCTTGATATTACTGTATGTGTCCATCATTTCTATCTCTATGTCAGAAATTGGTCTGTTATTTGCACATTTTCCTAATCACCCTGTGCTATGTTTTGTACAAGACTGTAATTCTTGCCTTTATGAGCGTGCATGGAACCGCGGAGAAGAAACGCATATCTGTTTAAGCTGAACTAGATTTCAGATCCGGCGTAGGTACTTCGGTGCGCAGTACCGACGCTGTGATGCCGCGTAACCACTATCAGTCCCACGTGAACTAATGGTATTGCGATAGTCGCCCAGTCTCTGCGCAGGCTCGAACCCGCGCCCTCGGATTACAAGGCAGGCTTGCGTTTCTTAAAGCTAAGGACTGGTAAATTCTGCGTGATCCTACTCGACGAGGTGCAACATGATAAAGTGATCAGAAGACCATACCTCACCTCTGTAAAACCGCTCTGGGAAGTGATTGCGAATCTTATGAGATAGGTGCCTCGAATTAAGACCAAGGTATCGTGCATCACAGGAGAATAGACTGCTTCCGTTGACTCGATCAAAACTTGCTTACCAGTACTCCTACGTTGAGGTCCCTATCTCGTACGCTTCGTGAGCACATCACTAGGTGGATTACAGAGGTGAAATAAGGTATTCTAATAGCTCCATCATGTGCATCTCTTGAGGTAAGATCATACGGCATTTGAAAACGGCTTCAGCGTCATCTAAAATATGGGAAAGATATCATTCTCTCCGGACATAGCAGCTGCCAGTTGCACACAAATGTGGTAAAACCGGAAAGTTATGATTGGATTTCTGAACGATACAGTTGGATAAACGGATGGATTGTAAGGGACATAGAAAGAAACTCAGTTTTAAACTATCCACTCCAATCATTTGTGTTTGAAAAAGGATTTCAGGTTGCGATATCCTACTTACACAGTGCACTTTTATCAACACCATACCTTATAAGTACTCGGACATTCCCCTTGAGCTCCATCAACTCATTTTGGATTTTGCGGGTTTGCATCTCCCGTGCCGCGTGTATATATCGTCGGCATGTCAGTGAACAAATCTGAGCCTCCTTTCGCTGCAACTCCGCTCGGAGTTGCGCTACCTGGGCATCAGCAGTGGTTGCGTTTTGTGCCACCTCTCGGGCCTCAGCCTCAACCCGAGTCAGTCGACGGGCATTCTGAGTGGCGCGTTCTTCGGCAGCCGCTAGCTGCCCCCTTAGTTCATCCAACTGTGTTTCAAGGTCATTTTTTGATGCTTTCAGCTGCATGAAATAGGGTAAAGGAGATATGTGAGAGATAGATTATCTAAAAATTACCAAAAATGCAGTATTTGGTGTTGAGGCCTCGTGGTAACTGAAACACAGGGGGGTCGTTATGCGCGCTGAAAAATGATTGTGGTGTACAAGCGTCGTATTTGAAATTCCTTCCCTTACGGGACATGTTATGCTTGTGCATCATTGTCAATCATAAACCATTGGTTGATTATTCCATATTCTATAAACAGACAGATGGCATTTATGGAACCAACTTCAGCAAAACGCATGGAGTCCTGATAATTGAAAGCAAAATTTTTGGAAGCACACCGAAGATGTCCTAAACTTACCGCCTCCAAAGCGGAAAACGAAGCTGCTAGATCTGAAATATTCACCATGAGTAAACTATGGTGGTTTGCTCACCAAGAGGATACTTTCAAGTGGGGAAAAACTGTGTATAACTGATGACGATGGTGGCATGGGATACAGTTTGCATGTCTCGCCTAAGAGCATACGGCATGGAGCGCATCGTGCAGAAGCACGTGAGGAGAACGTCAATTAGCTATTTCCAGCAAGAAAGTGCATTAATACTCGCCAACTTTACAGCCCCATTGGCGTGTACTGGGCAGCAATCGGTGCAATCACAATGCGTACAATACTTGTTGAACAATGCTTTTTGCTACAGCGCTGTCAGACCAGCGTACACCAGTTAAAATGGTTTATTTTATCAATCATACGGGGTCATGTATAAAGGAGCGGAAGCCGTATGCTACGCGTTTTTTCACGCCCTTAGCCAATTGAACGTCACCGAATGTGCCACCGAGGTGCGTGGCAGTTTGATAAAAGTTCAAAAATTCATTTGTGGCCAAAAATCCGAAACAATTTGCGAATGCCATAGGCGAAGCTAAGCAAGATTTACTGTTAATCCTATAACTACCTGGGTCCGTAATCGGTAGTCCCAACGGTCGTGCAGACCTATTGGTAATTCTCACCGATTTTCTCTTCTTTTTATCATTTTCAAATGGTTAGGCACCGAACACCTAAGGTCTTCCACTGAGTTCGGTTGCGCGACATGTCCCCATATGCCTTTAGCAATCGGCAGACTTGGTCAGTAGGCCCTCAGCTAGACAGCCGCGTAGATAGAATGGCTGGAAGAGACTTAGGTCAATGAGTTCATGTGTTGTCGTAAAGCAGAGGGATGACCCCCACCGTTATCACCAACATATTCTTTTATCGGCGAATAGGGCACCATGGATAATACGTTACGATGGCATACGTAGAACTTAACTTAGTTATCGCAATGGGCACCGCGAAAATAATTCTTCAAAGGTAAACTCATATTTACCAGAATGCAAAGCCCGGAACTCGGCATCGCCACCACACACGAGCAATCTTCCTCAAGCGCCCATCGCAGAGGCCCGAATACTGGTACATGTCACGCACTGAACTGGTCAGGAATCGCTTTATTACGACAAAACCGCACGAACGGTTTACCGAGAGGGGACGTCTCAACACCGCTACAAGTGTCTCGGATAATTAATTTTAACTGGATTTGTTGGTGTGGTCAAAAAATTCCTTTCTAAAAGCGCCACTAAGAGACACACAGATCAGTCAGGTATATAAGGGTACCCACCTGTTCAAGTTGTGTGCCTTCGACTGTGAGTGCAAAAACGAATCAGTGTTAACCCCGGAGCAGTACCTCAGGTTTCGATAGAGCGAAGCACATAACTTAAACCTTAATCACCAAACGGTTCAGAAAAGATTGCCTACTATTTGGGTCATCGCCAAGTAGTGCGGTATAAGCAGAAAAACTAGAGTTGTGCGCGCGTTTACCTGGAAGAAGCCCTAAGCCGATCTTTTGGCAAGATTCCAAAACTTGACAGAATGGGTTTAGGAAACAAACATTGGTGATGAGGGACATCAGGGCAAGTGTTTGACCAGCCTGTCGCACAATCAACATGATGATTCGCACATTGAAGTCCGCAAACCTGAGTGAAGATCGGGATCAAAGGAGGGCTACTACACCGTCATTTAGGCATCGGTGAAAGTGATATCGGAAGTGGATTCAAAAAATATAGTTATCAAATAGAGTAATGTCGACGTGCGGCGTGAATGGATGAGTAGTGGAGTAAACAGGAGCGCGGGACAGTGCGAAGAGAATAGCGCAACAGTGGTTGCAGTATACATGATAGAGTCAGAGAAGGTTATATATCCAGGTTGTAAAGACTGAAGTAGATTTGACTTAGGAGGTACGAATTATCGTGGCATCAACTTGCCGAGTTGTGTGAGCAAGGCGATTACTCGCAGCCTACTCAACCGCCTCGTCAGTCAGGCTGTGGAACCTAACGTTGCGGAGGAGCAGTGTGGATTCCGTTCGGGTCGCAGCACCATCGATATGGTGTTTGCTGCTCGTCAGTTGCAAGAGAAGTGCAGAGAACGACACCAGCCGTTGTACTCCCTTTTTGTTGATTTCACCAAAGCATTTGATACGGTGAACCACGAGGCATTGTAGCTGGTGTTGAGTAAATTTGGTTGTCCGAGTAAATTTGAAGTTTACTTGAATGTCTGCACAGTGGTACGCGAGCGAGGGTGCAGCTAAGTGAACAGACCTCAAATGACTTTGCAGTTGTCTGTGGTGTGAAGCATGACTGTGTCTTACATCTTGCCCTGTTTAATATTTATCTCCGTGCCATGGTGTCTTGTGCTTTTGATGCGGCTTGTGCTTACGGTGCTCGTGTGAAGTACCATATCGATGGTGAGTTGCTGAACATGTGTTGCTTCTTTGCCAGAACCCTCGTCTATGAGACAAATATCCGCATGTTGCTGTTTGCTGACGACTGTGCGTTGTTTGCACACAGTGTGGGTGAGTTGCAGCACATGACTAGTGCTCTGACTTCGACAGCAGCCAAATTCAGCCTCACCATCAACACAAGCAAAACTGTCTCTCTCTTGCATCCTTCACCGGAGGTGCAATCTTCAATATTGCTGCGAATCAGCATTGGTGCTGAAGTATTGGAAACCACCTCTCGCTTCTGCTACCTTGGGAGTGTGGTTTCGACTGAGCAGCAACTACGCCGTGAGCTTCGTATCCGGGTACTGAAGGCAACTTTGGTATTCAGGAAGCCTGAATACCGAGTGTGGAATAACCACCAGCTAACCTCTGGCACGAAGAGGATGGTGTACAAATTCATGGTGCTGTCCGTTCTTCTATACGGCAGAGATACGTGGACACTATACCGGCCAGATGTGAGATATCTCAAGAGGTTTCATTAACAGTGTCTGCGATGGATTCTGCTCATTGGTTGGTGCAACAGAGTTGGGGACACAGAAGTGTTACGCCGAAGTGGACTGTATGCACTGGACTGCATACTTCTGCTGAGATACTTGAGATGACTCGGTTATGCGTGCCGTATGGATTCGACGCGGATACCGAAGCAGCTGTTATGTGGTCAGTTGTGTTTGGAAGCGGCATGTGGAGAAACCGAAGCTTCGTTACTGGGACATGATCAAAGTGAGCCTATCACGTTCTAAGCTTGATTGCAGGTCATGAGAATCGAAAGCGGTTCATCGGCGTGCATGGCGCCATCTGATCATGAAGGCAGTTGCCTAGTTGCAAGAGAAATCCCTCGTGTATGCAGAGAAAAATCGGCAATCGTGGAATTGACAGTCGCCGATGGGTTGTACACCATCCACATCGAACGTATGGTGTTGTAGCACATGTGGTCGCGAGTGCTTGAGTCAGGCAGGTCTAGTGAGCCATGAGCGAGGCCACTAGGAGCCAACACCGAACCGACGACGAGTTCAGCTGAGAACGTAGGCAGAATCGGCGAAGCGTTTATAGACACGCTCCATTCGATTTACTAACCGCGTGCTAGCATGCTGAGTCTCTTTATTTCAGGTTTGCTATATTGTCCAAATGCTTTTTTATCACATATTAAGGTCTACCTGAACTACCTTCTATAGACATGCACACGTCTGAAGCTAATTGTAGTTAATTTCGATGACATTTTCGAGTTTGTGGTACTTTCTTAAGATATATTTTCTGATGTATTGAACCTTTCGCGGATTTTTTCAACCAAATTATTTCATACACACATATAGCGAAGAGTTGTCACCGTATCTGTATGCATTATACGACTTATTTTATTTGATATCCTCGTTTCAAGTGATTGGCTGTTGGTTGATATCCAAGGTGTGACTGCGCTTGATGTGCATGTTGTCAAGGTGCCCATCTGCCTATTACGCACCAACCCGAACCATAGACTTACAACCACAAGCATTCACCCGAACCGTCCATGCTGGCTCCAGGAGACAGTTAGTCGTTGCTGGAGAGGACGAAGTGCACGATCCTCGTAGCCCTGTTAGGCTCGAAGAGTGGTTCCATCCAGTGTGAAGCGGACTACGGTCTAGCCACCGCCTTGTGTGTACTTGATTCCCCAGATACAGCCAGCTTGTTTGCTTGTGAAGGAGTGTAGGCCGGCTCCGTTGATGAAACGTGGCTCCCATCCACATACCATCCGACTTTATTTCTTCGGGTTTACACTAGATATGGGGTGTGCGGATAGAGCTGTGGGTGGCGCAGCCTAAGCCGCCCATGGTTTCTCTGCAGGTACAGGTATCCTGTGGTTGTCCCCATGAAGGCCACAGCGAAAGTCAAATCCGAAACCTGATGCGGTGAAACATATATATATATATATATATATATATATATATATATATATATATATATATATATAACCTTCAGACAAATAAGTGGACATTCAACCATCGAGACAACGGGAGTTAGAGCAACATTCGATCATATATAGAACGAAGGATTTTCGTTTTCCCACGCCGGTGTTTTCTTATTTTGTCATTATTGATGTTTGTAGTATTAACCATGTGAATCGGTACAATTCAGTACACAATTCTTCCACTGATTCCACTTGTGAGCCATGTCTGCAAATGTGCTAGGCCACTGGCACTCCTCATCCTTGATCTTTGTTATAACGCTTCTTCTTTTCCACTAC